CAACAATTCTTCTAATAATACGCTATTAAACTGGGAACAAAGTTGCAGCTTGCGTGTCTTATTTCGCTCCACAAACTTGCTGTGTTGATCGTTAAATCCCCTTGTCGTTAGTGATTTATCAACACAGATTTTTTATCAGGTACGAAAGAAGTTTAGCTATTACTCAAATTTGTTATTAATGATTTAATTATAATACGTTATATTATGGTCCAATTTGCATAAGCAGATGAAATAAGACGATTACAGATTTGGTTTGGGTTATGGACCCTCCATCTTGCCCTTAGCTGATCTAGTTTCTAATTATACTTATAGCATTTTGTTTAGTTTGGTGTTTTCTAATTTACTCAGTTAGGGTATCCAAAAAAATAGGACAAGATAATGGTTAGGAAGGAAGTAATCAGACCAAAATACTTGAGATGAGTCGAGAAAGAAGTATGTACAGTTTTGAGATAAACTTCAAGATCACTGAGCTCTGAGAATCAATCGTGTTTGCAATTCAGTGGTATATAGATGAATTCAAAACCACAAAAGAAACTAGAATGGGCCTAGAATCAGGTACCTACTCTGAAAGTTGGGTAAATGCCCAAGCATTTTCCAAGTTGCTCTTACTTGGAACCCGGGACAAAACGAGGTAAAAGGTAACAAAATTGCAGATAGTCTCGCAGGGCCGTTCCTAGGGTAGCCGCCCCCTTTCATACCATATGAATGAAAAATACTTTTGCAATAAATAAAACAACAAATTACCGGAAATATAAGAAATTTGTTTTACACTCTAACACACTAATAAATTATTAATTTACTAATATAATAATAATAATAATAATAATAATAATAACGATACAACTGATAACATTAACGCATAACGTCTATCCTAAAACTGAAAACTGACGTCAGGTCGTCGACTTATATAGCTCGCCTGAACCTTCTAGAACTTTCTCGAGCAATTTTCTATGACAGGGAATGACATTTCGAGACATTTTTGGACTATTTTATCTTCTTCATTTACTCGTACCTTTACTTATGACCATCGCAGCACGCTGCAGGGTGCTGCGTAACAATATCTATTAATAATACTAAACAAGTCAGTCAAAAAGCCTATATAAACTTTTCTTTTTTAATGCAAATTCTAATATCCGATACATCTAAATCTTCCGAAAGCCTTTCCTGTGCCATCTCAAATAATTTTTTATTATTTTAAGTTTAGAAAAACTAATATTAAAAAAATGGCAATTATTAAATTTGGAAACAGGTATGTCTATTTTTATGTATGAGAAAGTATTAAAATAATAAAGCGTTCGTAATCCATAGGCGTATCACTTCTTTTAGTAGACAGTTAAAATATTTTTTGAAGTTATTCCTCGAGTATACACTTATATTTTCACCTAATTAACCTGCTTATAACTTCTAAACAGCTGAAGGTAAAACAGTACAATTTTTTCTAAAATGTTTTATTTTTCCACAAGGTATGTTAAGAACATTGTGTCAAACGGGTTATGTAGGTATAAGGGTTTAAACTTTGACTTTTAAACAACGTTACGTTCATAAATAATAATTTTAATATAAAAACTACTTCTTACCTACAAATCCAAATCAGAATCGAAATCAGAAGATGAACTGTCGCAACCAATATTTACAATTAGTGGCTCGATCATTTCATCAGTAATATTGTCCAACTTCCACATTTTCTCTTCTTCTTTAATCGTATGATTTACTGCCTTTTTCCAGTTTTCAGGCTTCACATTATTTACAGCATCCAAAAACAACTGTTTAACATCACTCATTTTAAAAGAATTATTTTTTCTTGAAACTTCTTCCTTTATCTGTGCCCATATCAGTTCAATCGGGTTTACTTCGCAATGATATGGTGGTGTTAGATCACCGTCATCCCACGATTTTTTGCAATTTCATATTTTTTGAATTTCTCTTTATGAAGGGAACACAAATGATACAGTTCTTTTCTCACAGAACCGGGATGGAACTTAATATTCTTTAAATTTAGCCAATTCTGTAAATCGTTTTTTAACCACTTGGTTGTGGGCATTTTTTCTATAAGTCTCGAGTGATAACTTGCATTATCTATAATTTGTTCGAACCACTCTTTAAAGACATCAGCATTCATGTCCTCATGGTAGTCACCGGTACGAGTAGATTCAAAAGTCAATAAACCACCTTTAACAAAACCGTTTGAACTACCGATGTGTACTATTATTAGTCTGAGCCCCTTTCCTGATACCAGTAGATAAATTATTTAAAAAAGCCTGTCTTCGACTTGTAACAGTTTCATCTTGCCAAAATTTATTTGGTTTATGTTCCTCGTGATCCATGTTTCATCTAAATAAAATATATTTCTTCTTTGGTTTCTCATTTCCTTTATAGTCCTTAGGTAATTTCTTCTCCATACTACAATATCGCTTCTTTCTATTAAAATAGACTTTCTGGAATGCTTTTTCCATAGAAAACCTATTTCTTTTAAAAGTTTCCATAGTGTGTTTCGACTCATTTCAGGGTAATCCTTATCATCTCGAACCGTGGCAAGAACTTTGTCTACTGTCGGAAATTCTTTTCTAAAGAAGAACGCATGCACTTTCCTTCGAAGTCTTTCTTTCAAAAGATTTTCTAATTGAAATTTTTGTTTTCCTGGAGCTTTACGTGCTGTTTGAAACTCGCCACATTTCTCTTCTTTAACAACTCTGTAAATCGTAGATTTCCCAACACCAACCGTACTACTAACCAATTCCACTGTGTCATCAACACTTTTACATAAATGTTTGTCTGTAAATGATTTAAAACAATTAAATATTAATGTTTTTTCATTAACTGTTAAAGGACCGATTTTTTGTCGTTTACGCGGCCCTTCCAAATTTTCCATGATCACACTAGAATTCACACTGCACCTTGCAAGTTTCAACTAAACGAAATTTAGTAAACTGTCAAGAATACACAACTTGGACCTCCTTACTAAATGGAAAACCTATAATCGCATTTTCGGTGAAATTTGTTGGGAATGTATTTATCTACTTATAATTCGATTACTGTAAGAAATTCTTGGAATTAAAATAAAACAAAATTGGCAAATAGGTACTTATTGAAAATAATCTTAAGATATGTAATCTTTAATACACAGGGCTTTTGGCTTTTATTACAATTTTTGGAAATATTTAGATTATTCTGTAAAAATATTTAAAATGACCGTACTAAGTTTTGCATTAGAAATGCTGTTTTATTACTCTCTCATACATAAAAATAGACTATGGATAACGTTATTTGTAAATAAGTATTGAATTCATTTCAGGGAAAATATAGGGTGTAACGTTGTCGATTTAATCACATAAATCTGCACAATCTGCAGCTATAAAATCTTTTTTACTTTTAGATAGATTATGTAACATAATTTCCACATATTTACATTTTGTAGACCTATTTGACTTATCTGCTTTAAACAAATAATAACCATGCAATTGTGGAACAAATAATTTTAAACAACTTAATTTACAAAAGTAATGAATTTGCCATGTTTCTAGTTTCAGAGTCTCTAGTATTATCAGAATATAGTATATAAAGTATCATATATTTTTGTTAGATTATATTTAAGAACTTTAAGCGCATCTATTCTGCTTTCCCTTTTAGTGTCTAAAATAGATTTAAGTGTTAAAGTTGGGATTTCATCTTTTAACACCTTCCAATGTTTAGTCGACGCGAGGAAGAAAACCTATAGCTCCTGTACAATTACAAAAAGGTTTCTAAAGATGCTTCTGCAACGTCATTAACGATTAAATTTAAACACAGGGGCATAGAAATCTCCAGGGTTTAAGTAAAGAACATTTTTTTTGTAAACCATTATTGCGACCCTTCATATTCCCACCATTATCATAACCTTGTCCCCTTAAATCCCCCAGACAAATGTGAATCTCCAAAAAATATAATAAAACATTAGTTAAACCCTGTCCTTTCGAATCTGGTATTGAAATAAATCCCAAAAAATGCTTCCTAAATTCTATTTGCTTTGATTTATTATATAATAGAACAAATCTTACTGCAACGGTAAGTTGGTCTTAGTTACTTATATCAGGGGTGGAATCTAAAATATTACAATATTTAATTACTAATTTTTAAAATCGATATTATTTCATTATTTTTTATCCCAAAAGGAAAATAAGTTCATTTTGACTATGAACACATAAATGATGAATTTCTGCTAATTCTAGTAAGATGATCTACTATCGTATCATTAAACTTTGCAACTGTTTCAATTAATTTTAAAACGTTTCCATTTTGTTGCTCGTATAACTTATTGTTATTGCCTATAAAACTCTAATTTTGGTCCACTAAAAATTTGACGGCATAAACTATAATTTTTAAAACAGAATCTTTTTCCATATTTATTAATTTCTTATTAAAAGAATCAGTAGTTGTTTTAGAAGAAATTGATTTATTTAAATCGAAGATTTTGTATTACAAATGTGACCTTTGAAATATTTTTATTAGCCAGCCATCACAAAATAGAGTACAAATTAGGGACTGTTATTGAGATTGACACGTTTTAAGATAATATAATACAAATTATCCGGGATCCCGGTGTATTTATAGGCTCAGGGAATAAACGAGTATTTTCCTGCAACCTGACAAAAACCGCTTGTACCGACCCCTCCTGTCCGTCTAATTGGCGATTTAGCCTTGCAGAGCATTATCGCGATACACGCTTGTGATCTAGATTTTTTAATGATGAGTTAAAACAAGTTAATTTTTTTTTTATTTCTTGACTGGTTGCGACGTGAAATAGCTTTTTAAAGTAAATGCTGTTTTGTTTAGTTTGTGTTCTACCATAACGGTATCAGTCAGGTCAAAACAAAATATATTGTAATTACAAATCTTTATCACAGATCTATGTTCTGGAACAGTGGATCAAGAAATGTTTATAGACTGATGATCAGGATGTTCTTGCCAAAGATAAAGAAGGTACCAATTATATAGTCAAAAAACTTAGATCTTAATCCACTAACCTGTCGTGTACGGTTGGGAGTATTCTTTATCGGGACTGGTTAAATACTTTTGATCTTCTTCGGGGTTTATATGTTGTTTGGAATCTCTTGGAGTTGAGTAGGTATCTAAAACTTCGACCTAGAAAAAAAAGTACATAACCTTTTAGAATATTTAACTGAAAAAAAGAATAAAAATGGTTTTCAAAAATAGATACATACAAAGGATAATACATGTATAATAAATTTCAATCAACCATACACGATTTTAAGAGTTCGTGGGGTATAAAGTTGTAAAAGGAAAGTTTCTGGGATAAACAATATTCTTTGAAGTAGGCTGTTTCAAATTGACAGAGTATAAGAGTGTCGGTGTTATTTATATGATAGGATACCTGAACATAAGTTTCGTAATACGACAAAAAATGTTTGTCAAGTCAGGTCAGCTCTTGACGTCAAAGTTATTACGACCTATTAAAATATCACCATTCATGCTAGAACTGTTGAAAATGTTGGAATATCGACCTGTTGGGATGGCGCTATCGCAGGAAAGTATTTAGGCCACAGCTGATTCCAAAGATTTTAATCTAAAAATACAAGGTTTTACTTTTGACAATCCATTTTTTTTATTTTCAAAAAGACATTACAAAAAAGTCGATATTCCAACAGGTAATGGGCACAGAAGGAAGTAATCTAGAAAATATGTCGTCCCTTCCTTTTATTACCAAATTAGTAGGACGGGAGAATTATCAAGATTGGAAGTATGTTATGGAGTTGTACCTAAAAGATTTGAATGTATGGAATGCTGTTGATGGTTATCCTCTTGATGATAAAACTAATCAGACTACAAGAAGTAGAAGCGACCAAAAAGCCTTAAGCAAAATAGGTTTAATGGTTATGCCTTGTTATCCTCACATTAAAAGTTGTAAAACTGCGAAGAACATATGGGAGACTCTAGAAAAAGCTTTTGAGAATAAAGGCTTAAATAGACGAGTTCGTTTGCTTCGTTCAATGTGCTCATTGAGACTACAACATTTCACGTCTATGGAAACTTACGTGAATGAGTTTATATCTATTCAAATGGCTCTTGCAAGTATAGAAAAGCCCATAGAAGACGAGTTTCTTGGTGCCGCACTATTAGCTGGTCTGCCTTCTGATTACGACCCTATGATTATGGCTAAAATTACGAGTGATTTTGTGAAAACTAAATTGCTTCAAGACACCCATTGGGACAATAAACAAAGTAGTTCTGAATCTGTGATGGTGAGTAGTTTAAGTCTAAAAAGAAGAACCAAGGAAATATTAAATGTTGGGGGTGTGGTGAAGTTGGACATTTAAGGCACAATTGTCCTAAGAAAAGGGCATCGGTTACTAAGCCAAATGGAGATGAGCAAAAATCTCTAGTAGCTGCATTTGGTGTTAAAGTCTCGAGCAGCGATTGGTATGTTGACTCCGGTGCTTCCCCCCACATGACTTTCCGTAAAGATTGCTTTTTTGTTTTTAATTGTACTATGAATAATGTTGAAGTTACTGTTGCTATCGATTGTAAATTATTTAGCGAAGGCGTTGGTAATGTGCCAATAAAACTGAAAAATGAGAATAGCATAACAACAACTACAGATGCTATATTTGTACCTGGTATACATGTAAATTTGTTATCTGTAAGCAAATTAGTTTCTAAAGGATTAGTTGTTATCTTTGACTCTACTGGTTGTAGGATAATCGAAAACGGAAGCTGTAAAATAGAAGAAACAAATTTTGCTACAGCTTCGAGTGTAGCTGGTATTTATCGACTTAATATTTCTGACGATGTTTCTTTTAGTATTCCTAGTCAACCTTGATTAGCTGTAAATAATTTAAATATTAATTCTCATGAGCTGTAGCACAAGCACCTATGTCACTTGAATAGATAGTCTATGAAACTATTAAAAAATGGCTTTTTCCGATGATAATGGTAATGTTTGCATATCCTGCGCCGAAGGAAAGCTGTCCAAGAAACCTTTCAGAAATAGAAATAAAAGAACATCAGAAAAATTGCAACTTATACATGCAGATCTGTGTGGGCCAATGCCTGTGCCATCTTGAAGTGGAACAAATTATATGCACTAGAAAAATGTTTGTCTACTTTTTAAAGACGAAAGATCAAGTTTGTTCAACTTTCAAAGAATTTAAAATAGTGATTGAGAATCAAACAAACTTGAAGATCAAAAAATGAAGGACTGATAATTGTGGTGAGTTTATCAATCATGCTTTAACTGAATATCTAAAGAAAAATGGAATTTTGTTGACTATACCCTACAATCTCCAGCAGAACGGGATTGTTGAACGAGTTAATAGAACTGTAATGGAAAAAGTTAGGTGTATGATGCGTGGAGCAAAGTGTGACAAAAGAATGTGGGCTGAGGCTGCAAATACAGCTGTTTACAATATAAATCGTTCACCACATAAATCGCTTCCTAATATAACTCCTGAGGAAAAATGGACAGGCGAAAAAGTAAATTTAAGTCATCTGAGAGTTTTTGGATGCGTTGGTTACGTCCATGTTCCTGATCACAAGTGAAATGAGTTAGATATAAAAAGCAAAAGAATGATTTTCGTTGGTTATGAAGAATCAGTGTATAAATTTCATGATTATGCTAACCCACAGAAAATCACAAGAGTCAAAGACGTTGTGCTTTTAGAAAATGCGCTTGGGTTGACCCTAGAAAAAAAGTGATATACCGATTATTACTCATAATGTACCTAGTATACCCATTTACATAGATGAAAACGTTCCTGACCCAAAATACTGGTGACTTATTTTGTGAAGAGCAACGAACCGAAGGCGAAGAAAAAAGGGATTTAGAATTTATTACAGGATTCAAGAAAAAAGATATCCAGTAAGAGAAAGACAAAAAAAGAATTGTCAAAAGTAAAAACTTGTATTTTTACATTAAAATCTTTGGAATCAACTGTGGCCTAAATACTTTTCTGCGATAGCGAAATCCCAACAGGTTGATATTCCAACAGAAAAGAGTAGTAGATAGATAAATACGGATTGAAATACTGAAATAAAATCCTCTCAGCGATCGTCAATATTTCCCCAGTGACTGTGATCAGTAATCATGGCTGACATGATTTAAAAGTAGACACCGAAGTTATCCAGATAAATTGAACCTATTTTTAATTCAGATGAAAATAAGACTGTAATCAATATGGTACGCCGCTGTATTGGGCGTTGGTAACGCTTTGATAACTTTTCGTAAAACTATCAAAGCCCTTCAAAACGTTGTTGAGTGAATGAATAATGAGAAAATTTCATCAAAACCATTAAAAAGACAAAATTTCGGAAGTAAAGCTTGTCTTTATGGGTCCCAGGGGAAATCTGCCGCTTAATTAAAGTCAAGCTTTTAAGGTACTGAATATTATGTTAAATTCGGTATGGCTAAAAGACATTTCTTTGCTCTATGCCCTCGGGGGTTGTGTGAAAAAGGTTGAAAGCTACAATTAGAGTAATGATTCAGGGCAAAAAAATCTATTTTTGATTAATTGCTCCTTTGTCTTTTAGCAGTCTTGAATGAGGGTGGAAAGTTCTAAGGGAATCAATGTCTTAACGTTTGTTTACTTTGCTAGTTTACCTGAATAAATGCATGAATACTCGAATTTATTTGAATACCTACAACAGAGGGAATCTTTAGACATTCTCACCCTTCTTTTAGAATAATTTCCCCATTTTAAATGACAGTGTGTTTAGAAACGAACAGGGGCTGATTGATTATTTTATTTTTTATATTATATTATTCTAATAAAGAATTAGTATATTATTTTTCCACTCCAATTTTATAATACGCTAATTGAAATATTAATAGTAGTTTTTGCAACAGTTTATAACTTTTACCAATATATAAAATAAAATAAACTTAAAAAAAAGATTTAATTGAATTGGTCTCCAATCCTAGATTTGAACCAGAAACCTCTCGCTTAAATGTGCTAGGCTTAGTTCCATCAACACACCTAACATTTTAGTTTTAATACTCGTAATTAAATTGGTTAGTACAAAAATTCGGCTAAGGGCTTTCAGCTTAATAAAAATATCTTCAGAACCGTCTAAAAGACCTTACAAATTAAAAAATTTTTTAACGGCTTTGAGGATGGCTTTATGAAGCTGAAATAGCTTAGCCAATTTTTTAGTAAAAATGCTTAATTTTTTACACACTTTTGTATCTTTTCCACTTTAAGTTCACCAGTAGTGTGTACACCTCTCAGGACCGCGAGGCATTTTTATAAAAAATCAAGTCCTTTCTGTGTTAAATTTCAAAAAAAAGGTCCTCGGTCCTCAGCAAAATCAGGTACTTTCTTGGTGCAATCTACAAAAAAGGTTGTATTTTTCGCTCCCTTTTGTGGCAAAAAAACGGCCTCAGCTGTTAAAGCTGCCGGGCCCCGGGAATTTTGCCCCCCCCCTCTCTCGTCGGGCCTGACCATTCTCAGTCTACTTATATTTTAAATTGTTTTTAAGAGGAGTATTTACTTGGCTGTAGCGCGGAGCATGTAAGGGTTTCATAGTACCCCACTTTTAAAGTTTATTTTTGACTTTTTTTAAAAGAAAAAAATATGTACGTATAGTTAAAGGTTAAATCTGTGCTCTGGAAACACTTTTTCAAAATTTCATTCAGTTTTTTATAAAAAAAAAATACAAAACTCGACTTTTTTTACCCATTTTCTCAATTTTTTTTTAGAAAAAAACTTAATTGAATTTAACCTTTACCTACACGTACATATTTTTTTTCTTTTAAAAATAGTCAAAAAACTTTAAAAGTGGGGTACTACGAAACCCTTACATTGCAAGATTTTTCGTCTGGAAAGTGGCGCCTCTGTTAGATTTTTAAGAAATTAATATTTGTGAATAAAAACAATTTATAATATATTTTACTGATGTTTTACGAGGAATAAATAAATTTTACCTATTTGTACACCTTATTTTTTACGTAAATCATTTCTGTAATACTAAGATTGGCATATATATTATATGCAAGGGTTTCATAGTACACCAATTTTACGGATTATTTTTTATTTTTACCAAAAGAAAATTTATGTAAGTACAGGTAAAGGCTAAACCCGTACCTCTCTGGAGTCACTTTAAAAATTTGAATCAGTCTCTTCCGAAAA